CGGAGCGTTTCCAACCCGGGCGCGGGTCTCGGTGGGTGGGTGTTAACCCTTCCCTGCCTGCTCCCCGCTGCGCGCTGAAAGAGGAGCTGGTTTAGTCTGCTGAGCACGACGTTTTTAATTGAAAAAAGAAATAATAATTTTCCACGTTAGTGTAGGAATCATAGATCATTAAAATAAAATGATATACCAATTGGGAACCCAGGTTTTAAATGTCCAAGAATAATAGGATCGGTGGGTGGGTGTTAACCCTTCCCTGCCTGCTCCCCGCTGCGCGCTGAAAGAGGAGCTGGTTTAGTCTGCTGAGCACGACGTTTTTAATTGAAAAAAGAAATAATAATTTTCCACGTTAGTGTAGGAATCATAGATCATTAAAATAAAATGATATACCAATTGGGAACCCAGGTTTTAAATGTCCAAGAATAATAGGACACGTGGGCCTTGTAAAAAGCAAGTCATTTGGAAAAGACTCCTTCTTTGGACCCGAGAAGTGAAACCAGTTTGAAAGGATGGGCCTCTTCTGTCTTGTTTATGCTGGGTGACCGACCCTTTCGGTTTTTCCTGGATTTGGAAGATACGTTGGTTTATTGTCAAGGTCCTGGCTTTTGTTTTGGTTTGTGAGCTGGATGGCGTTTATTTATTTTTAAAAAATAACCAAATGCCTAAATACAAGTGACGTGTTTATGGTACAGGGATTGTGTCACAAACCAAGAAATAGAATTAATCCAATCTTATATGGATGTACACTCATGAGAGCAAGAGAGAATACAGTGTAAGTAATAAATACATTTTATTGTTTTGGGGGAAGGAGATTGAAGGGGTCTCTCAAGAAGGGTAGACTGGAACTTGGGGATGAGATGTGAGAGTATTTCATTCTGCCTTATACTTAAAAAGATTTGCCTGCCAATGTAAAAGTAGGAAGTGACAGGCAGAGGCTGGGGGAAGCCAACTGCAGGCTTAGAAGTGAGTGCTTGTGCTTGAATTATCTAGGTGGATGGGAAAGGCGGTCTGGAAAAATCAGATGATTCTAGAGCTTTCTGCACGAAGCTCTAGGGTGCGGGTCCAGCCTGGTTAGAGGCACAGCTCTTTCAAGCAAGTCAAGGGGGTGGAAGGGATCAAAAGGGGCATCTCTGACTTGCAGGCTAGGATACTGTGCATTAGTCCACCCTGTCTGTCTGAGTACCCATATTTGAGGAATTTATAGCTCTTTCTTTTTCCTTCATAGCTCCACTACCAGGTGGTGGTCACCAGTGGTCACCAGAAAGTGAAGAGATTTTTTTTTCCTGGTGGTGGGGATTGAACCTAGGGCCTTGAGCATGTTGAACGTGTGCTTTATCACTGAGGCCTAGCAAAGGGATTTTTATGTGAGATCATCTTGGCAAGAAGCTCCTTTATCATCCTTAACCTCCAGGTCTCCAGGGCAACTGCTGCTGGGATGTCAGTGACACCAGATACTGTCCCTTAAAGGCTGGGCTGCAGCAAGGGCAGATAAACAATTTTGTAGTAATAGTCACGTAGCAAGCTTATTCTCAAATGTGGGCTGGTTAGAATGATGTAAGTGTTTTTTTCCACTCTCTTCCACTTCTGGTTCCAGAATTCTGGGCCTAGGACATAGTCTAAGAATGTACATTGGGGCAAGAATGGTGCAGGAACGCTGCAGGGTAGGACTCAAGGGGATTGCCTTCTAGGCTTAGGGAAAAAGTTTTTCTTCTTGGCTTCCCTAGTCCATACCACAGCTCAGCTCAGTTCCCGCCCCTCTTCTCCCTCCCCCTTCCTCTCCTCTCTTCCTTGCAGCTCTGTAAAGTGGTCTTATTATGTAAGTTGTGGTAGACACTGGCCCTTGCCTCCTCAATTGTAGGTGCTAGCTCTCACAATAACAACAAAATGTATTTATTACTTATATTTTCTTCCTCACTGTCATGCATGTATATCCACAGAAAATTGGATTAATTCTAATTAATGCTACCCATAGTTAATCTTTTGACCACAAGAATACAGTGAGGATGACATCCAGAGACTTCTAAGCCTTGGTTCTACCTGGGTCTCTTAGAGCCTTCAATCCTGGAACATTCCCTCGAGAACCAGCCACTGCCCTAGGAGAAGACCAAGCACAGAGAGGGGCCAGAAGTAGGTACTGCAGTCAAGACCCTACTGAGCTCCCAGCCAGCTTCCGGACCACTGCCAGCCTGTCTTGGTTGGCGAGGTTATAGAATCTTCAATGACTCCAGCCCTAGCCATCATTTCAGTGCAATAACAAGAGATCCTGAGAGAGAACTGGCTAGCTGGATCCTGTTGGAGGTGTGAACCATATAATGGTCATTGTTATGGTTTGTGTCTAAATAGATGTCCTCCCAAAGCCTTATGTGGTCGGTCATAGGTGGGGCTTTTCAGAGGTGGCTGGATCTAGAGTGTGTGGTACTAGGGTTGATTCATGGTACAATGCTAGAATTAAGGGAGCGTGATTACTAAATTAGGCTACTGATTGGGTTGGCATCTGCCCCAGGCCAGGTAGCCTAGATAGAATATAAAAAGGGCAGAAAGAAGCTGCTGTTGTCACTAGTAGTTTGCTACTTTCTGCCTGCTGCCTACCATGAACTGTTTCTCCTCTTTGATGTCCCTCTGCCATGCCACCCTGCCTTGGATCCAGCCAACTATGGACTAAAACCTCTACATACTGTGAGCCAAAATAAACCTTTCCTCCTTTAACTTTGTGTGCCAGGTATTTTGTTTCAGCAACACGAAAAGTAACTAAGGCAGTAATAATTGGGCTAAGTCACTGAGTTTCATGGCAGTCTGTTATGTAGTAAAAGTTTAAGTGCACAAGGATGAAATGCAAGATGGTGAGTGGAAAGAGCATCTTCTGAGGTCTTAGCCACTTTGGAGAACTCAGTTATTTCTCAGCCTTTCTGCCCCTGCCTCCCCAGCCCCATCCTCATTTAGGAGCTCTGCCCATCGTGTGGCCTCATGCAAACCTTGTGTGGTCACTAACTGCTCTGTGTACATTGTCTCCTCCATTCAAAGGTGGATTCCTGTTGGGGAGAGACTGTCTTCCATTTCTCCACTCTTCAGCAGATTTGTCAAGCTGTTCTAGTGGACTGCCTTGGGGACTAACAGCCAGAGGAGCATCCAAGGCCTGTAAGTGACTTGGCTTCTCATCTGTGATGTTGGGTACCTGCTCTTATATGGCTGCTGCTTTTGGACCCACCCAGGAGCCAGCCACATCATGGAGGAATCTGAACCTCCTTCACACTGTGGCCACTCAGGGAAGATCCAAGTCTAGGGGTGGGTATTCATCTCCTGTTTAGATTTACTACCTTGAGGCAGCCCCAGGAATGAAGGACATTCAAACTTTGGGATAGAAGAAGCCCCTACACAGGTGTGAGCCCCAAGAACCATTCATGGAGCTCCCAGGACCAGCCAAGAGCCCATCCCACAAAGGTACTCCATGTGTCCATGACATCCCTCCATGGCCTATTGATGAAATTGTGTGCTTAAGCCATCCTGGGGTGAGAAGTGGAGACCCAGGTCCACTTAGGTAGAACTTGGTGCCTGTCAAGAGCCCTGTGCGCCCAGTGTGCACTCAGAGTGTAGGATGGGACTGCAGGAGGAATCCTTCATTCCTTCAGTCAACACTTGTGTGAGCCCAACCTGGCCCTAGGCTGTGGGGACACAGCTTAGAAGAAGGCTCAGTCCCTGCTGTTAGGTAAAACACTTAGAATCTACTACAAATCTGTAGGGCAAGTGGGGTGACAGTGGAGTGGGGGAGCTGTGGTTTTCCTTCCACATTACTTCTGACACTGCCTGCTGACATCATTAGAGACCTGGAAATCTCTATAGTGTGCGGCGGGAAGGAGTGTGCGCACCAGTCACAGGATCTGAGTTTGAGTCTAACTCCAACCCTTATTGGCTCTTACATATACCCTCTTGTCCTCTGTCTTCTTATCAGTAACAATATAAACAACAGTAGGACTTAGGGTCATATGTCACGTTACCAAAAAACAGAGTGAATAGTTACTTTTTTTTTCTTGAATGTATTACAATAAAGGACATTCCCATCAACCCCTCTCAAAGTACTTCCGCTCGCTTTGAACACACTTATCCCACCATTCCTGCCCCTTGCTGAAGCAGCTCTGAGAGTCCTAGTTCCTGAGAAGACCATCAGGAGCCATCAGACCGGGTCTGATCTTGACCCTACCCAGGGCTGCTCCGTTGTGCTAGGAGTTTCACATAGCCCACAGCCTCAGCTCCTTCTCCAAAACTTCAGGTGAACTTTGGCTTCCCTCTGGCCGCTCATGGGTGATTGGATGGCACAGAAGGCAGAGAGAACTTGGGGCTAGGAGGGAAGGGAACTGAGGCGAAGTGTCTCCGGAGCCTCTGGAAGCACTTCTCTTCCATTCTTGCCCCATTGCAGATCCTGGCCCTTGGAGTCCCCAGCAGCATCACCTGTGTGCAGAGCTGTGATCTGCAGGCCCTGCTTCCTCCCTTGACTTCCCCTGAGGCATAGCTGCTTCTCGACCTTGAAGAGCTCTGGGCAGAAGTGGTGACACCCAAGATGTCCTGCTCGCATGTGTTTCTCAGAGAGGGCTGCTGCCTCAAGTATAAGTCTGCCTCGCCTTTGCTCAGTATCCCCAGTGTCAGCAGTCTGCACCAAGGACCCTGGCACTTTCCCCCAAGCCATCAGCATGAGGTGGAATCACATCCACATCTGACAGCACCGGGCCATTCCAACAACCATTCCGACAGCCCTGAGAGCTACTCATTAAGGGTCAGAATGTGTGCTCTGCTGGGATGCCTGGGGCTCTCCAGGGAGGGTCACTTTCTCGAGAAAATGTCCACTTTACCCCATCTTTCAGGGGCCCACTTCCTGACCAACAGGCTCAAGGTAAGTGACCCTCTGGCACTGAGTCTGGGCGGGCCTCCAAACCTCTGCTGTTTCCAACACAGAAGGGTCATACGGATTGTAAATCTTGACTTTCCTTAAAGTAGTTTAACAGAAAGAAGACATTGGATCCTTCCTTAGGACATCTTGGTAGTTGGATTTTCACTGTCATCCAAACTCAGGACACAGAAAAATAAAGCATTAAGCCCTACTGGTCTGACTGGTTTATCCATCATATTCTATTACCTTCTAAGAAGTCTGCCTTATTAGCATATCTGATCAGTGCAGGTAGACCTGGTTAGAATGTTTAAGTGGTAGCAAGGGAATAATTGTTGGGGTTTTTTTTCCTCCCCAGATGTAATTCTTTGGGCTCTCCACCCAGGGTCACTACTATCCCATATGGTGCCTATGTACAAATCTTTAAAAGGCTCCCCTTCCTCTCTGTTGATACAGCCACACCTGGGCACAGCTTGGCTAACAGAGGCCCCATTTGCTCACCAGGCGAGTTGGATTTGTACAGTAAACAGACTGCACAGCTACATATGGTGTGCCGCCACCCAATGTTACGAGCCCTTGTTTCTCATGTTGGAGAGGTGCTTGTTAGAGAAGAGGAAGAGGATCTTTGTTGATGTACATAATAGACAGGTTCTTGGAGGCCCAGGTGTGACACCTTAGTGCGGGCATGCACTGAAGTCTGGGAGAGTTTCAGGATGCTACCATAGGCCTCATGTTTCCTGGGAGGTGGAACGGCTGCTCAGTCTGTCCACATTCCTGCCCAGAAACCTGAATTTGCTCATTTGTGTGCTTTATGAAAATTTCTAAGAACCTGTCACCCTCTTCTGAGAAAGAGAGAGGAGGTCCATGGTGTGACTGTCCTCCCACCTCTCCTGGAGCTTTGGTTTGTGGTCAGGACCTCTGGGCACAGAGAGTTTTAATCCATCTTTGCTTTCAGGTCTAAATCCAATCACCTGTCGGGCTGGGCTTCCCTGCTTTGATGGGTCCATTTACAGAGCTCTTTGTGGTGTGGTCTTAGGGGTTGGAGTGGTAGGTTTAGAAGACCCCTGCAGGATCATCTTTCCCCTGCTGCAACCCAGCATAAGTACCTCTAAAACCAAAGGAATAGCACACTGCAGGTCTAAAACATAATTATACCTCAGGGGGAATCATGGCATCAAATCAGCCCAAGTTAGGTATTTTGTAAATGGATATATTATTAGACCCACCATCAAATCCTATAAACAATCAAGGGCTATTAGAAAGTGTAGAGATATTTATTCATTCTTCATTCATTTCACAAGCTTACTAAGTACCTACCACATGCCAACCCTGTGCTCAGCTCTGGGTAAAGGAGCAAATGAGAAAAAGACCTTCTTGCTTCAGTTAAAATATCATTTCCTCCAAAAGTTCTGCCCCAGCCTCACTTGCAGACTTGGGGCTCCCTGTGTGTGCTGCCTTTCGGGAAACTGCATCCACTTTGTTGGATCTACTCCATCTAACCCTAAGGGCTTAGTTTCAGGAGCTGAGGGGCCATGTCTATGTTAAGCAGGCAACCAACACCATTTCCGTGGCACACCGTGTCCGCAGATGATGTGTAGGTAGAATCAGTTCATTGGCCAAGTGGACTGGAAGTTAGAATGGGTGTCCTTCTGGGGATATCCTTGTGTTTATGAAACCTGGCTCCTGTGCAGGCTCAAATTCCACGTGGAAAGTCTTCTGCTCCTGTGAAGGTTGGGATGAGATGATTGCCAAGATCCCTTAGCCTAAAGCCAGAGATTCTAGGCTAGATGGGGCCTGGAGATTGGTGTGGTTGAGGGGTAACTGGAGCACAGGTGTAACCGGGTTAGGCCAGGCCTGATTTTAATTCAAGAAAGAAAGATGTAACAAGGAGCCCTCTGTGGGCCTCCACCCCATGCCACGTGACCACAAGTAGGTCTGCCAGATGGAGGTGATGTGGGAACAGGAGTAGTGTGGTAGTTGCGTGGCTTATCTCTTCCATTTCAGAGCTCTGGGTCCAGTTACACTCATTGTCACAGTGCGCAGAACCCATGTCACCAGTGAGAAGGAGAGTAGCTTGGGCCCTGGTTGCTGACAGCACTGTTTTGTTCTTGCTGGGCCAAAAACTTCTGGCTCTATTGCTTTGTTTCTTTTCTTTGTTTCTTTTTTATTGCTTTTTGGTATTGAGGATCGAACTCAGGTCCTTGGGCTTGCAAGGGAGACAGCGGCACCACTGAGCTAAATTCCCGGCCCTATTGCTTTGTTTCTAATGGCAACAGAAGGAAAGCTTGTGTTTTCTGCTTGGGGACCTTATTTTTTTCTCCTGGAGGGTGACCTATAACCAGATCAGGGCCAGGTGTGGTGGTGCACGCCTGTAATCCCAGCACTTGGGTGGCTGAGACAGGAGGATCGCTGTGAGTTTGAGGCCAGCCTGAACTACATAGTGAGACCTTATCTCAAAAAAAAAAAAAAAAAAAAAAAAAAAGAAAGAAAGAAAACCAGATCAGGGTTGTAGCCTGGAGGTTTGATGCCTGTAGGGTCCCAGTGAGGCCTTAACAGAGATCTGGTGCCAATATGGGGAAAGGAGGCCATCTGAGCTCTGCCCCGGGAGGTGATATGGGCTCCCAGAGTGGAGAGCTGTCGGCTCTTCTGGGGTTGGGCTCTGCTGCCTTCTTTAGTTCTGAATGGCTGCAGCTATGCATGGCAGCCACTCTGCATAAGCCCATAAGTAGGACTCGAAGAGGAAAGGTGAGAAAAAAGAGTAGGAACCTAAGAGAAAGGAGTGAGAGAATAGCTAAAGAAGAAAGGTGGTTGTGGAGGAAGTCAGTGACACCATCAGCAGCCTCAGGCATTACTTGGGGACGTGAAGCCAGAGTGGGATGACCCAGCAGGCTTGGGTGAGAGCAGTTCTCACTGGCAAGGAGCGGTGCCTTCCCACTGACACGGAGCTACCATCTTGGGCAGATGGATGAGTGGATGGAGGAATAAACACATTGAGACAAAGAACAACGGGGGGGATTTACCGGGGACCAAGTGAGTAAAATGAGGAAGAAAGAAAGTGTGAGAGAAACATGAGAGAATCCAGTGATGAGGTGTATCCATTTCAGGCACGGATGGCCCACTACAAAGATGACGGTAAAGAGTGCTTCAGAGGGCCTTATTCCCCTCCTCCCAATCTCCTGATGTAATCCTAAACAAACATAAGGTAAGTGAGAAATAGAGCGTTTCCATAGTAAACAGCTTGACAAAAAGTCCCCAAGCTCCCATATCTGCCAGGTCTCCATCTCCATTTCTTCCTTTAAGAAACTCCTGAGCTAGGTGTGATGGCTCACAACCTGTGATTCCACTGAGGCAGGAGGATTGCAAGTTCAAGGCCAGCCCAGGGCAGTTTAACAAGACCCCGTCTCAAAATAAAATAAAAAATAAAAATAAAAAGGAGTGCGGATGTAGCTCAGTTAGTGCAAAGGCCCTGGGCTCAACTTCCAGTACTGGAAACAGACAAACAAAGACAAAAAAACCTCTAGAACAGCTTCTGTTCACCCACAAGGCCTGCGTCTGCTTTTTCCAAATCCCACCCGAGTATATTCAGACTGTGGACAGACAAGTGAAGACTTGAAACATAATTAGAAGGGGTAGGGAAAATAAGCTGTAGACTGAGAATAAGAAGAGTTAAAAGAGCTTTAAATATTTCAGTTGCTCTACTTAGGGACTTGGGGTATTGATTACTCTAACAATCACAAATCATTGTGGGGATCCTCTCTTCTAGCCCTTCAGTAAAAAATGTTAAGTACAGGCTTTTCCTCAGGGAAGACTCAGAGGGAATAGTTCACAGGAGTCAGGGCCAAAGGTTAGGAGTCAAAGGGTTACACCTTGCAAGTCTTGAATCAACAGCTCAGAGGTGAGCAGCCCTCTTCTTTCATGAAAGGTCCTCAGAAAGCAGAGGGACACAGTGACTCAGGTCACAATGGCTCCCCGTGGTGAGATGGTCAGATGTGAGGTCGAGCAGAGTCTGGAGAGAAGGGTGCCCTTCTTAGGTCCCCACATCTCAGGGACCTGCTGACTCACTGGGGAAATCCCTGGACTACTGGTGGACTCAGTCCAGCCACCATGCGGTTGTTAGCAGGTAAGTCTGGGTTGTCGAATTGTCCACAATAACAGGGAAATACTGGTCTTTCCTCTAAAAAGGAGGCAACATTGTATTCAAGCTTACACAAGAGAGAGACAAGGAGGTCTGGTTTCCAGAAAAGCATCAGTTTTACCCAAAATTTTAGGAGGAGTTAGGAGGTAGAGGGAGAGAGCAAATGGACCCAGGAAAGTGGCCCTGGAGGCTTGGCACTGATGTGGGAAAGGGAAAGGAGTATTATACCTGGGGTGTGGGTCAAGTAAGCTTCTAGGAAAAACCATCAGCCCCAGAGGGTAAATAGCTTGCCTGTCACAAGCCTCCAAGGGGCTGCTCTGATCAAAGGGAAGACACAAAAGTACAGAGGCAGAAATAAGCTCCTCAGGAAGGTGAGCAATTTAATGGGTTTTCACACAGGTGTGGGAGACCATCTCATCATCCCTTTCTCAGGACAGGGGTCTGGACACGCGTCTGCGTGGTTAGTGTCTGCCTTTAGAGTCTTTATGTGTCTTTCAGAGTAGACTGTAGAGAACCCTTTGGCTTTTCCATTTGTGGATCCTTCTACCATCTCTCTGGTTTCCACTTCTAAATCTGCTTCAGCCTGGGGAAGCTACTGTGCTCAACTCTGATGTCTTCCCTTCTTGCCTCTGGGCTAGACTTTAAATAAAACTTTTAAACACTTGTGACTTTTCCCTCTTTATTGTTTAAAGTTTCTTCTTTACTCATGTTGTTGATCTCTGTTTCTAATTAAAACATAATAGGGGCCTGGAATTTAGCTCAGTGGTTTTGCTGCCTGCCTCACAAGCACAAGGTCCTGAGTTCAATCCCCGGGTACCAAAAAAAAAAAAA